TATCTTTTACATACGTTTTTTAAATTATATATTCCAGATACGCTGACGTATTTGACCTTAATCTTTATTGAAAAAAAAATCTTGAAATAACTACTGAATTAGATTTTTTTAAATTAAAATTGAAATTCTCAGATGTTTTTCGTTAAGTACACACAATTACGGAATGTAATTGTATTTAAATAAATAAATTTTACTGAAAAATATTAAAATTTTATTTCCAATTTTTAATTTTTAAACTATTTATATAATGTATTTTGTGTCGTAAAATATATTATATGAAAAAAAAAACAAATTTATTAGCAAAATAGTCTATAATAAGCTATAGCTGTTATATATATATATTTTTCACAAATTACAGGGTTATCCAGTTTGTAGTTTCATAAGTGATCACGTATAAAAAAGCGCTTGTGACCTAGATTTCGATCAAATCATTATTTCAATATATGGTTTCGATATTCACCATTAGGTCTGAACTTGAATATCATTCAAGTGGTCACGGGATATCTTTCGGTACTGCTTAGATGACGATAGCTCAGTAATAACTTTGATAGATGTTCGTTTTGAAAGCATTAGCGTGAAGAGTTTGAGCATTGTTCGCGATACGCAGAACCGGCTAAAAGGTCCGGTCCAGCATATGTTGTGTGATTTGTGGTACCGTCTTGTTCAGATATCTTCCACAATCATATCTTTAGAGTTTGTATCATACCTTCAAAACAGTACGAATTTCGTTTTTTGGTACGTGAAGCAAGCAAAAATGAACTTCATCATTGAAGAAAATGTAATCGTCATTTGGATCATTTTTTGTTCAAACACAATTTAAACATATTTGGCAGTTGTTACACAAACCATAATTTAAAAATTGGTGATTTACCTTAATTACAATTACTTCCACTCTGTAAAGAGACATTAGTGTAAAAAATTAAATTTAATTTGAACTCACCAAAACCACCTGTTAGGAATGATTGTGGAAGATTGCAGCTACGTTCAGCGGGTGCAATTCTATTCTAGTATTAAAGGGCAGAGAAGAGAGTAGAGGGACTTATTACTTAGCAAGCTAATTTTATCAAAGTCCAAGATAGACGTATTCAGTAAGGGATGTTGCGATTTTAAATGAAGGGGGCAGGGTTTACGCAAACTTGTGAGAGGGTCTAGCTAAGAGTGAACTCTACATTTGTGATGTTAGATGCCTCGGATGAAGAGTGGAATGCGTGGCGGAAGAGTAAGCTCTTCTTCTAGATAATGGGCAAGAAATAGGGGAAAAATTTGTCGTTTACGCGCGGAACACAAATATTTTTTGTATAATTTTATATGTATAGAATTACGTATATACATGATTATAAATATATTTATAATTAAATAAAATTTTAGATAATAGATTTTTTCCTAATTCTAATTTATAATCTAGTATTCTAGCATTATAATATGCTAGCATTATAATATGCTAGCATTATCTAATATAGTATTATTTGTTAATTAGTGCACATCATCTAATTTATATAAGCTACCTATGATCATAACATTTAGTTGTTGATGTTTTTGTGGTTTGAGTTACTGCTTTTGTGCACTTTTACTCTTTTATGGTTGGGGGGCTTATCCCTGCCCCACACTAAGCTTTAACTATACTAGAATTAATATAATTTATTTATCTCTTAACTGATGACGGACCGTAGATCAGCATATCTTCCTATGCGTCCTAAGGTGGACTTAAAGTTTGATAGCATGGGGTTAGGCAACGTATAGACTTTTGTAAATAATTTTAGGGCTCTGTCCTTGAAATATTTTTTCACTGAGTCGATCCTTAGATCTTTATGCATATCTGTTGTCCTAATAAACCAAGGAATCTTATTTAGTCTTCTTAAAGCCAAATTTTGTGCTATCTGTAATTGCTTTATGGCAGTATTTGAGGCTTTGCTGTATGTTACACATCCGTACAGTAATGCTGGCCTAATTATTTGAGTATATAATAGGTCTGTTCCACGAGCTACTCATAGTAAAACATGAGTAAAACAGAAGTAAAATTTACACAAAAATACTTGAAAATTTGCTGGTGGAACGCGCTTGTGTATACACAGTGTTTACTCAAAGTTACTATGAGTAGCTAGTGGAACAGACCTAATAACTTTCTGTTTTTAATGTTGGCAATGCTTTCATGACATTATTTGTATTATTTTCAGTCACAAGTAGCCATTAAAAATTTAAAAATTCGTGACATAAAATAGAAAATTTTAGATTTTTATTCAAAAAGTTTGAAAAGTTAAATGTTGTGTGTATTTTTGTAACAATTTGTGAAATATAAATAACAACCAACAAATATAGGTAAGTAGTTTTTATTTCATTTATATATCATTATATAATGTACCTATCATACTTTTATTCATAATTGTTTATGAAGAAGTGCACATTTGACCGAACTATTAGATCAATATAGTCCGTGTATGACTATTGTTATGTATTTAGAATATTTCCTTATACTTCTATGACATCCATAATAATCCTTTCTTCTGAGTTCTATTCTAGATTCAAATTTCAAAAATAAGTCATTACTTATGTGTACTTTAATTTTTAATGTACTCACTATACATTTCGTTAAAAAAATCAATTTGATCGATATAGGTATTAATTCTGAACGTTGTCTTAAGTAGAGCGCTCCTTTGTATGCTATCGTACTTTATTTTAAAATCTCGAAAAAAATGGTATGGGTTGTGTTATATTCCCATGATTTCTCGTGTATTTGTATATCTTTTTTCCAAACTAAATTCTCCTTTGTGTAGGGCTGCTACGTGTGTTAAGGATTTTTGCGACAGTTACCGAATATTTTATCCTACCTTCGTATCTTTGTATTTATATCATCAATTCAGGACGAAGGACGAAGTTCCTTATTCTTAGTTGACCTTAAAATTAATTTTAATGTTAACTCATAAATAAATAAATAAATATCACTAATTATAGTTTTAACATCAGTGCTAAGGCATTCATTATACATTCACCTCCTTAAGGTTGCCATGTATTTTTAATATTGAAATTATTTATCATATTTTGATGACAAGTAGACATTGAAAGTTTCAAAATTCTTTACATAAAATAAAATATTTTAGATAGTTATTGAAAAAGTTTTATAAGTTGTGGTGTTGTGATAATCTGTAAAGCATAAAATACATTATTTGTTGGTAAGCAGTTAAAAGTTTTTATTTCATAAATATTTTATCATATAAATTGTCTATTACGCTTTTTAGATTTTTAGACTAAACTTTTAGATTGTTATGATCTGCTTACGATTGTAGTTAAACTATTACATCTAGAATATTTCCTCTGGTGTGGATTTGTTATATTTCCAATAGTCTATCGTCCTATCTGAGTTTTGTTATAGATTTTATTTTCGCTGATGGGTTACTACCTATGTGTACTATTATTCTGAATCCATGTTTGAATCCCGCTTAATATTTTAGAGAATAATGTACGAGTATCCGTTATGCCAACTATTGTTTATTTCTTTGTTGATGTTTTCTCTTAGATATTTTGCAGTCGGTTTCTAGATTCATTTTATTTCTGTAATACTGAAATGATTGACGTAAAATCACCCAACAGTATTATTGTACCATACTTCTTAATCCTATAATGAATCCTATAGATTTATACTTTTTAATGTAGTCCGCGTACGCCAATTCATCAATTTTTAATTTCATTACAGTTGCATGTAGATTTTTTGTGACCTTTTAGGATGATAATGGAACGAATTCATGTTGATATTTTTCATCAGGTTCATTTTCTTTTATGATTTATCGATATATCACAGTGACAGTTCTTTATTATCAAAATATCAATTACTCCAGTTTGTTGATTGACATTATTATTTATAATGTGATTGGTTCGTATCTCCTTTGTGTTTTGTGTAGAATCGTTAAATCTATTTGATAATTAAATTGTAATTGGTCATATTTTTTTACATAAGTAATTATCGTTTCTTTTTTTGATGCAATTTTTATTAAATATTTGTTGCAGTCTGCTTCTTTCAACCGATATACCTCTTGTATCATATAAAATAATTATTGCCAACTGGCATATGAGGTAGAGGACTTTCTGTGAAAATGTTTCAGAAGTAATATTTCATAATGAATTTCATGTATTGACATAGTTTCATGCCATAATAACTGATGAAGCTTTATGTGATAGAATTAGTTTAGCACAAAGACGAATTGAATTTCTCATCTAAAATACATTTTTATTACAGTTCATAAATATTTAAGAACAAATATTGAATACTAACTATTATTTGTTAGCATATCTAAAAGCAATGCACTTCTTATCTCAAATAGAAAGCTCTTTGAAAACTCTTGTAATAAAGGTAATCCAATCCAAATTAAAGTAGTTGACTTATTAAAATTAAATGACTGTTATTTAAACACCGGATTTTATTTAAATACTGCATTTAAATATTTACACGTCATGTTTTCCCTATAATATCTTAACTTAAATAAGAGGAATTCAAACTGCAAGTCAAAAGTACTTTATTAAAGCCTTCATTGAGAATTTTTATTAAGGCCATGTGCGAGTGCGAGTAAATTGAAGTAAAGTCAATTGTAATTTCCTTGGATCTTTTCGCACTGCACTTATGTAAATATTTATTTATTTATTTTTTGCATTTATTTATTATTTTTGGTTAAAAGTTTCAAAATTTATTTATTTATTTATTAAACATCTTATAAAATTTTCACAATGGTAACATCTAATTTATCTAATTTTTAAATAATTTAACCTACTCGAAACATTCGCTGACATACCGACATAATTCACTATTTCTCTCAATTTACCATTAATATACTCAGTACCTAATTAATTGCTTCTTCATAGCGAACAAAATAATACACAGCTGATGAATTGCTCAGCTTCTATTCGTTTTATTAATAATATTATTTACTTAAATCGTGTTTGTTTTGGTATTACTATGTACATAAAAGTGTGTTTTTACGTTTTTGCACCCCACAGAATTCATTGGAAGCACCCTTACTTAGGTTCACACTTATCGAGCTCCATTAAGAGCCATGTTATGCAGACAGTCATGGTCACATAAAATGTGAGATTATTGTTGTTTTCAACATAATTTAATAAGTTAAGAGTGTGAGTACGACAGTAATTTGTATTTGTTAAGATGATGCCTGCCTTTTATATAGTTATATATCAATTTTGTTATATTAAAATATATATGGTATTAATATTCACAATATTTTGTACTGTTTAATACAAATTTTTTTAACAAAACTACAGTACAACTTAAAATTTAATTCCATACATATAAAAGTGAAAAATTCTTTGCTGGCAATGCTATATGATTTGAACTATAAAAAATTAAATTTTATTTGACAGTTTAGTTAACATTTTTTAATTTTCTAGCAAACTTTTCTTAGTGGACAAGAAAATAAGATTCTGAGTTAAAAAATTAGCAATAAGAATCTCAAAGAATTCAAATATAACAGCAATTACTCAGGATTCAAATTCTGGTAAGTTTAACGAATTTGCATATTTGACTTAATGTTTTTAATATACTATATGCACAGAACTTATTTCGTTAAGCTAGATCTTTTATATTTTCGATTTATTCTATATCATTGCACAAAAGTATAGCAATTTTTAATAACATTAATGTGGTTAAGCCGAAATGATTGGCGCGCAAAAATAAAAGTTTGCTGCGTCGGTTGCGTTGAATGAAAAATGTCGACAGTATATAATAATATTTTAATATAATATTCATATTTCTTAAATATATACTATATACATGTATATATTTTACACAAATAGTTTTAAAAGCCTTAGTGCTGGTAGTACTCAAATACAGCAAAAGTTTACTTACCCATTTTTCGGGATTAGCATATAGGCATTTAACATATATATATATATATATATATATATATATATATATATTATATATATATATATATATATATATATATATATATATATGTATATTCTACATAATCCTACCCAGCACCAGTATTTCGACTTAAATTTCGCTGTGAATTAATAGGTTTAAATGGATCCCAAGAAGCACAGTAATAAACCAATCTTAGGTTATGAGTTTATTAAAAGTTGGTTTTAACAAATATTTCTGGTAGTTTCAGTCCATTTTCATAATTTTTATACCACAATCTTCATCAACTATGTAAATGTAATATATATATATATATTTTAACTTATATATGTATTTTATTCACTTATTTTCAGATAGCGGATTGTTTAACTGACGCCTGCGTGGTATTGGTCTTCACTCTTGTTTTTCACTTAGTAAGTTAAAATATTTAGATATTAAAAATGTTTTTAAAATTATTATTATATATTTTTTCAAATATTTTTAAATACAATATGTTTCACATAATTGTTAATCATTTATATACACATTTTTATTACTAAAATATAACAAAACTTAATTGAAAAGTAAGTTTTTTATCAATTTTACCTAAAAGCATTACATATTATTTCAGATTAAATTCCGGAAAAGTTCCCTTTTAAGTTCAAGTAATTTTCAATATGGTAAGTTAAAAATTCCATAAATATATTAATATTATTATATATATAATACATTATTATTAATATTAAATAATAAGATGTGAATGCACCCCATTGTGTGCCTCCAACTAAATTAATTTTAAACTATTTTATTTTTATTATTTTATTTTTTAATTGCTGTGGGGCTTGATTTTACCTTTTGGATTTGGGACCAGGATCCTGCTTTTAATATACTCAAGTCTACGCCTTGCCACCGCTGGGCAGTTGCATAGAAAATATTCTAATGTTTCCTTCTTCTCATGACAGAATCAACACGAATCACTTTCTATCGCATCTATATTCTTCCTGTGGTAATTTAGTCTACAGTGTCCTGTAAGAAGTTCAGTGTAGAATTTAATATCGTTTTAGCTAAGGCTAAGGATAGCGTCAACTTTGATATGTTCAGGATCAATGAATCTTCTTGACTGGCGAAAGCCTGTTTGGGGTCTCCAGTAATGAAGTAGATTTCGTTTCTCCTGCTCAAATACTAAGTTATTTGTGAAGCTTTTTGTTACCCCGCAAAAGAGCTCTGGATTAATCAAAGAAGTAAATGCACACTTATTTGTTAGGGACTCTTTTTGTTTCGGTAGCCACATAAAAGTAATATAGTTCTTCGATGCTAGAGTATTGAGAAGATGAAAGCATTCCCAAACCAACTTGGATTGGAAAAAAGAGTTTGTTAAAGATTTTATAGTTACTTGGCTGTTCGAAATCGCACATAGCTCTAGGACGTGGACATCTGCTTGAAAATGAGATTATTTTTTTTTTTATTGGATTTTAATAAGTTTTGTCTTTTCAATCTTTACCATACACAAGACCACATTTGTTCTCAATAAACTTCGAGAACAGTAGTTGTTTCACTTTTAAGAATGTCTCTAATCTTTCTGCGGTCATTTATTTCTTTAGATATCCCAGCGGCATGGAATGAAATCATTGTGATTATGTACTGTTTACTCATTGACCTTAGTTGAGTTTTAGACTGCTTGACTAACTACAACTTTGTTTTACGGTTGAGCAAAGTAATAAGCTTAGCTTTATTTTCCAAGAACACACTGCAATCTATTGATTAAGTTATTTTTTGAGATCAAGCGATCAACCTCTTTCATAGTAAGGGCTTCGATTCGGAACACTGAATTATCTTGTAAGGCGGTAGAATCTGTTAATACTCCTTTTGCGCTACATTATTCCATATGTTCACTCCACATAGATAATCATATTTGGTTTTCATTTATTCAATTTTGAAAAAAAAGATTTTGCAATTAATAAAATGCTTGTTACTAGGACAGTTGGTAGGCTAGCTACAATGGAGCTATGCATCTTCCGCATGGCTTTTCATCAATCACTTACTGTCAGTCTGAGAACAGATATTATGGAAATAGATAGCATGCATGCTATTCTCTATATTTAACCGAGTACTTGTACTTGTTTGATAATCATTTTGGAGCATTGTTCATGAGAAAAGCGAGTCAGTGCAAAGTATTTGACGTATAACCAGTCCACATTCATAAAACATATTTAAGAGGAAGTTAAGCTGAATGTTCTTCAATTATTTTTTCAGTGAACCTCTAAAGTTAGAAATACTTTCGATAGTCCACATAATCCTCTACCGTTTTCAATACCCATTCAGAGGTAAAAGGAATTGATATCAATATTAGTTATTTAGAAAGTGTTTGCTTTCGACAGTTTGCTATTAAATGGAAGAATATTTTTTGACTTACATTAGATTAGAAATGCAATTGCAGAAGCAGATGCAGATTTCCAAAGCATGAATGAGTGCTGCAAATTCGTTTCATCACCAGCTTAACTGTGTTCGGGCTTGTGCTCTGTAAATGTTGTCAATTCAAACAATTCATATTTATGAGTTGAACTCCACGCTTGCGCTGATCAAACTCAATATCATATGAGGCATGAAGCGTAAAGAATGGATGTTGCAGCGCATTGCACGCTGTAATTGCCGATTTGCATTCGCATTTGCTGTGTTCCATATTTTATGTTGCCAATTGAAAGAGAAAATTTCGACGCTTGTGGTGGAAACTTTCAAGTTCACTATCATTTTCACAAAATCGCTTCGATTGAGTTTAGTTCGATTTTATTCCGCGATCAATAAGCGGTGCCGGAGAGACTTGAATTCTATTGGCAAGCAGATACGCTGTCTTAGTGTCATAAATACCACAATTATATTTATTGCATTTCACAATTTAAGGTAATTACGATCGTGTTGTTGTTGCAAATGTCTAACTGCTTGCTGATCATATTTTTCTTGATATGAGATCCAGCAGCAAATACTGATTGACTGAAGCGAGTTCGATGTAAAATGCTTGCGATAAAGTTTTGGAGAAAAACTTTTAAGTAATGAAAAGCGAATTTTATTACAAGCGTTGTAATTATGAGAAATTCCGTGGTAAATGTGGGAACAAAGAACACTGATATTTTATTGAATTATATACCATCGAGTTTTTTTCAATACCCTTTCGTCATGTTTCAGGCAATATCATAATGCCACAGAACTTTTAATTTCCGCTGCCCAAAATTTGATAAAAGAAGTTGTCCTTACTTCAAAGAATTTTGAAAAGACTGAAAAAAGTCTTCGATCCAAAGATGTCAGATTCGAGAAATATAGTGTTCATTATTATGATCGTTTCTATATCAGAGTGATCACTCCTATAAGAGAGTGATCAGTTCTAGAAGAGAGTGATCGTTATAGTATGTCTATAGGAAAGCGATCATTATCATCATGTATATAAGAAAGTGTTCATTGTGATCATGTCTATAAGAAAGTGATCATTATGATCATGTCTATAAGTAAGTGATCATTATGATCATGTGTATAAGTAAGTGATCATTATGATCATGTCTATTAGAAAATGATCACATGATCATGTCTAAAAGAAAGTGATCACTATGATCATGTGTAGAAGTAAGTGATCATTATGATCATGTCTATGGTATAAGAAAGTGATCATTATGATCATATGAATACTTAAGTGGTCATTATGATTATGTGTATAAGTAAGTGATCATTATGATCATGTCTATAAGAAAGTGATCATTATGATCATGTGTATAAGAAAGTGATCATTATGATCATGTCTATAAGAAAAAAGATCACTATGATCATGTCCATGAGAAAGTGATCATTATGATCATTATTATCAGTTCTATAAGAGAGTAATCATTATAATCACTTCTATAAGAGATTTATTACGATCACTCAAGATCAGTACATTAAATAGTATTTTTAATATTTAACTAATCGCCATAATCAGTTGATGAGCAGTGGTCTGATCATCATGATAAGTTTCGAGGAAATTGCTCACCGTGATCAGTTGATAAAAAATTGATTATCATGATTAAATGATCATAGTGACAACTTTAAATAAAACCAGAGTCGTACAATATCGTTGGTTTCTTATATAGAATTGCAAATTCCTATACATTAAGACTGAAAAGTTTTCGGAAATTCTCATTTAAAATTCGCGCGCTGTATATTTTTCGATATTTTAAGTTTATGTAGTTTGGCAGCACTGTCTTTAATTACTATGCCAAAAATGAGCGCGATCTGTCAGACAGTTCGTTTACGGCAGCTGTTGAAACCAGTTCACCTCAGTAGTGCGTTGCGAAATGTCTTCGACGGTCGTACGACCGTCCTGAAAGGCTTTGTACCACTCATAAACTTGAGTTTTCGATAAAACTGATTCCCCATAAAGCCTTTTGTAGCATTCGCAACGATTTCTGCACACGAAATTTCGTTCGAAAACACAAAATTTGATGCAAACTCTTTGTTCTATATTTTTTCCATTGTTTTTTTCGCAACGCACTACTGAGGTGAACTGGTTTCAACAGCTGCCGTAAACGAACTGTCTGACAGATCGCGCTCATTTTTGGCATAGTTATTGTCCTTAATTGCTGCCAAACTACATAAACTTAAAATATCGAAAAATATACAGCGCGCGAATTTTAAATGAGAATTTCCGAAAACTTTTCGGTCTTAATGTATAACTCATCTCGCTAATAAGTTATTTCTTTTAGTCGTAATTTTTTATTTTATTGCTTACTTACAGAACTCTACATTGGACGATTATACACCACTTTTTCCGCAACCAGAAATAGATTTGGTCGAAGTCATTGCGCAGTACTACGTAGATTTCATGGCTGGTAAACTTTCGAATGCTGAAATTCAAAAAACTATTATTACTGTGTTGGCGTGCATATTGTTTGTTCAAGTAGTACGTGGTTTTTATTGCTATAAATGTTTAGTAAGTGAATAGCCAACAACTAGTTAAAATACTTTATTAAAAATATTTCTGTTCTTTAGAGAAAGTATTTGAGAAGAAAGGTTAAAAATATATATTTTAAATTGCTTGGGATTGACAGCAAAAGTTTGGTTCAATTTCACGGTTATGAACAGGAATTCAGCGACTTCAGTGATTATGACAATGATGATTACGGTTTTATCCCAGATGACGCAGTTGACACAGGTGTTGCTGAAGATTCCCAAATTCAGTTGGGTTCAACACAGAGTCCTGAAACTGAAATAAGCATTTCTGATACAATTCAAGAGGGTGGCAATAATGAAATTGATCCTGTTTGTGGTATCAAAAATGAAATCTCTGTCACCGAGAGTCCAAACTCAAAATTTGATGAGACTAACATTTTGGACTGCGAAATTGTTCCAACTATATATTCAGAAGTTCCTGATCGTCAGCAAGTTTCACATGATAAGATTTCGAGCGATATTACAAACTTAAAGAAATCAACAACTTCGTTGGATGATGCTTTAAAGCCTACTGTTAAAAAAATTGAGCAACAGAAGATAGACACTTCTCGAGCAACTGTGCGATCTCGGTCGAGAAAGAAGAAATCGAGTTCTAAGCGCGGCAAAAAATAAACAACTCCTTAATCGAAAGATTCATCAAAACAAGAAACTAACTCAAACACCTTAAGATATAAAAGTTCAAAGATGAATCTAAATCATTAATATTAGTAAAATATTGAGTTAGCGATTTTAATAGATTCTAGATTAATATTGAACCAGGCAATATTACAGTATTTCCTGATTGGAATGTAACTGTGTCTATACATTTTAAACACCAATTTTTTAAAATTATTTTTTTTTTTAAATATCTTTTTTAAATTGTTTGTTTTAAAAGGATAAGCAATGGAATAATATTGGTAAGTATAATGCAATAAAAGTAGACATATAACATACATTGTAAAATTTTTTAACAAAATATACTCAAATTCTTTTATTGTTTTTTTTTTTTATTGCATTATTGATTTTCGATCAAAAGTTTGATACCAAACTAATTGATGTATACGTTTATTTACAGATTAGATGAATACATAAACAGGTTTTAAATATCAATAGATATAATTACTTCCGATTGGGTAAAACCAGCTGAAAAAGGATCAGTCTATAACAAACCAATTTATGGAGAGAATAATAATGGTAACTATCGTTGGGTGTTCTAATATTAGAGTTAGAGAGAAATAATATTTAGGTCGTGTGCGAGTTAGGCTAAGTTGCGTTCTAAATGAGGGAAATTCTAAGTTGTGCCGATAATGTCGTGATGTGTCGATATGTGTTGATAAATGGCTAAATGTGTGCAGTGCAAAAAATCCCACGAAAAATCCCATTTGGTTTAGCATCAACTTAGCCTAACTCGCACACGTCCTTAGTTAGAAAAATTAGTTAGAGAAATAATATTTACATGTTATTAAATTATTTACTATATGTTTTTTTTCTATTATATTTTGAATTATAATTAATTGTTGAATTTATTTTATTTTAGAAAAAAAAATAAATCTGTCGGAACCAACACACCAGTTTTCACGGAGCCATATGGCTTTCATGATGGCAGCTATAATAATTTTGGATATCTCTTCATAGCAATTTTATTATATGGATTTCATTTGATATATTGATATATTGAAATTGGTTTTTAAACCTGTTATTGTATGTTTAAAAAGATTTTAAATAAAGAGTATATATATTAAAAAACAATCGCAATTAAAAAATTGCTAAAGGACAGAACTGTTGTGATGAATGGTTTCGTGCCCGATATTATTTCACCGACATTAGATATAAAGAAGTGTTTATAAGGTATCGTCAAGAAAGAAACCTTTTCTTAACAAATTAGTAGAAGATGAGCTTTTTTTAACGACTACCAAATGCTTTAGAAAAGTGTCGCGTTTAGTATACACTACATTTAGTTGGTATTTAGTAAAGAATATATATCATAAAATTCGATACATAATATTCGCTATTAACTGTTTGTCTTTTTACAATGTAATCGAACAATATTATAATAAACATTTTCTAAAATATTAGGTATCAGAACATTTCCAGTCAGCTGTTGCCTCCTTGTCTAGTTTGATTAACAAGTCTAGTTTGCAGGTTACAATCTACATGGTTGACTACAAAATAACCCGATTGAGTCAATTTGCGTCTATATTGCATGAGGAAATTTTCTTTATTTATTTACAGTTTATTTATTCAAAATTCCTTTAAAATATAGACATTAGTATAAGTCTCTTTACTAATACTAAACTCTTTATTGCTATATATTGATATTCTTACCTAATAGTTTTTCATATCCGTTTAAGTTCACGGTTTTCTTGGTTAGGAAAACATATTTATTATAGTATTTATATTTTTGCAAGTATAATCTACGATCTTCCAAAAATAATTTTTAGTATTTTTATTCGAGATTTTTTAAGTAAAGGTCTTATTTGATTGTCAAAAGTCTTAAATACGATAGTGTAGTACATATGAAATTACTATACCAATATATACCTTCTGTTCAAAAAGTATCCGGATTTTGTTGTTTGTTGAGATTATGCACTTTGTGCAACTTCAATGGCTTTAGTCTTTACTCATTTTTCAAAATGTGTTGCATCATTTCTCGCGACAAGTTCAGCTCCTTTGGCACTTGATTGCAGCGACGGCGTAGATTTTGCTCAATTCGCTCCTTCACTTTATAAATCATTTCTGGTGTTGTTATTGTTTTTTTTTTTTTGTCCACTTTCTGGGGGTCAAGCAACGCTATCAGTATCATGGAATCGAGCTATGGTACGAAACACAGATGGTTTGTTCACATTTAGGTATTTAGGAGCGCTCGAGCGATAGTCACGTGTTTTTCCAGACAAATATAAAGCAATCATACTATCAAGTTTGAACTACATTACATACAACTTCTTTTTTACACAACACAAAAATCAAAATGCCTTTCTACGCTTATAAATAAGACAATGAGCTGCCAATGTGCTGTCAATGATCTTTCTGTCATTATTGGTTTGACAGCTATTATCGGTGCAAAGCTTGTTCGAGTTCGGGTTAAGAGTATGAAAGTTTGCAGTATGTTAGTACATACATATATCCGACACAAATATTTGCAGATTCTGTTGTGATGAGGAATAAGTCTATGGAACATCTGATCACCAACTGTGATGCACTAGGCCACAGAAAAAACAAAATATTTGGTTCATACTAACTAGAGGATGAAGACCTCTAGACCTCGAGATACTAAATGTCTAAATATAAAGAGGTGCACAATAGATTAAGCTGGTCGCAGCGCAGACAGTCCTTACCCTAATCCATAAACCATAAGATTTCATCTGATATCTAAACAAATGGAATTGAATAGGAGTAGAATAAAGGACACAGCATTTTCTTTTGTCATTCATCACACCTTAGCATTTGATTACCGAAAATATAGGAATACAAAACACTAGAGGGCATTGGCTTAACTACAGGGAAGCAACTGAAAGCAACGCTTTCGGGCCCCCGAATTTAGGGGGCCCCACTATAAATTTTTGTATTCATTGTATTTATTTTTAATAAATTCTCAAAAGTGGGACGAAACGTTTTTGTTGGAATAACTTCATATTGCATTTTTTAAAAGATACGTTAATTTTAAATTTAAAGTACATAATATGTATGTACTTCAAATAAAATATTAAACCTATTTATAAAATAAAAAAGTTTTTCTAAAAAAAATATGTGTCTTAATCGAGAGTTTATATGGAAGCTATATCTAGATTTAAACCCATTTGAAAATAATTTTGTACGTTGTCTTTTGCAAATATCAGTACAGTATACACCAAATTCTATTTGAATACCTTTATTAAAAACGGAGAAACCTCATATCCGATTGTTAAGTTTATATCACAATTTCAATCAAATCAAATGGTGAACAGGGTTGGCTCCCGAAAAGTATGTGTGTAAAGTTTCATTCGAAGGGTTCAAAAGCTGAGAGAGTAGTTTGAACTGAAAAAATATATATATTGTACTGATATATACTTAATGGTATTTCCGACGTTTTCTTTAATGCGTTACGAAAATCTTGACGAACCTTATATACCCTTTTCACATTTTTTCGTGTAAAGAGTATAAAAAGAGGGGCCCCATAGTATGTTGGTAGGGGCCCCCTAGTTAGAATTTGCTTACAGGCCTAAAAAATGTAGTTACGCCACTGCCAGAGGGTAAGTATGGTACAGTATATTTTTTTACCAGTCAGTACTTTTTTTTCTCACCTGTAAAGTGTTATCATTAATATATATATTTGCTCTTATAAATACACATATCAGATATAAAGTAAATAATTTAAAATAATGGTGCAGCAGAGAGAGAGAGAGAGAGAGAGAGAAACAACTAAGTATAGCCAGGGGCACATGCCGAGCTCTTCTGCTTAGCCTACATTAAAAAATTTCCCAAAACAATTAAAAAAATTCACTTCTAAAGCGTATGCAATACAAAAAAAAAAAATAAAAACAAAAAAAAAACTAAGAAAAATGTAGTTTTCGCCTAAAAAAATGTGCTGGGCACCCAATTTCGAGACAAGCTCAGCATCAAGCAACTTTTAGACTAAAAGCAAAAGATATTTTATTTTTTTTATTTCTTTCTTTTGTTTATTTTATTTTTTTTTTTGTTGTTGTTTGTAGTTGTTGTTGTTAGCTTGGCTTGGCTTAGTTTAATTTGAAGCCAAAAGTTGAAAATTAACTTTTACTTGCAAGCGTAAAGAAAGTGGTTCTTGCGGGTTTCTTTCCGCACTTCTTATTTTTCTTGAAGTTTTTTTTCTTTTCTAGCTAATTTGTTGTTGTTGTTGTAATTTTTGTCATTTTACTTGATTAAGTGACATAGTGGCGCGCAATTCAATTCAATTCAATCCAACTCAATTCAATTCAATTCAATTGCATTCAATTTTACTCCAGACGATTTCAATTTCTTGCACATTTTTAAGTCTCATTTAAGAACTCATTTGTTATGTTTTTATTATGTATGGCTGCGACTGCGACTGTGTGTGTCTGTGCATTTGGCCGCTCGCTACTTTCGTTGTAAGCGAAGCTTAGCAGTTTAGCAGTTTAGCAATTTAGCAGTCCGCGAGTCAAAAGCTTGGGATTTCATTTTTATTTGAACTGTGTAATTTATACCAGAAATACGTTTGCAATGTGAAATCGAACCAATCGCGACCAACACTAAATGTACACGCAGACTGGAGAGGTTCATTATAGAAATCTTGGCAGTTAGGGACTTTCTAGATATTAAATATTTTGCTGTCATAATTTTATCTCCTCACTTGTTGTGGTGTCTTGCCATGTGCGTTGTTCTTGGTTGTGATATTGTTGTTGTGGTTGTTGTTGTTGTTGTATCTGGTTTGGTATTTGTATTTGGCCATGGTTATTTGATTTGGATCTATGCACATTTGGGGCACTAATCTTGAAATTTGCTTCTTAATGAATTTTTTTTTTTAATTTTCTGTTATTATTTTTTTGTTTCTTAGATCACTATAAGAAGATATAAATTTTCGTTTGAATTTTTATTACTATCATTATTATTATTTTTTGTGATTTTGGCCTACAGCAGTGACTATTCGTATCGACTTAAATAAATAGTTTTGGTCTGTTAAACGTGTTTAACTCGGCAACAGAAAAAGTAAAACTAACGAATAATTTGTTTAATTGCTGATGCGTGGAGCTCTCGCATTTCCGCTTAACTAAAATTTTGCTTTACTTTATGGTTTTTATTAATTTTTGATTGATTAGTGCTCAAGTAAAGGTAACTCAACTCAAACGTATCACTGTACTTCATAAAAGAAATAAATGTAAAATAAGATATACCATATGTGATAGATGTGAAAATATAGAGAAATCATACAATTTGAAGAAAGAAAATGCTCGATAGTTTGTTTTTCCTGTAATAAGTATTAACAGGAATGGGAAGTTTCTCTGCATGGATTTCACACAACCAGCGACCATAGAGTACTGCAGTAAACCTACAGTACGCAGTATTCACTAGGTCATTTTTAACGAGTTCTCAATACAGTAGAAGCTCGCAAACTAGAACAATTTCGTTTTTCTAGTAGCTCGCAAACTAGAACCACTTGGTTTTTCGAGTAGTTCGAGCAATTATTGTCTGGATATTCAATAGTGGCATATAAGTCAGGTCTA